TCGGCCGCCAGGACACTAGCGTCTGGGATAGCCATGCGACGCGTCTCCTGGCTCCAGGTTTCGGGGTTACCGCCAGAACTGCAGCAGACCCTGCAAGATCTGCCGTTCGAAGGCCAGGGGTTGTTCTCGGACAAGATGGACTCTCGGTTGCAGAGCCTCAAGGACTCCAGAACCATCTTGCGCTCCCTGGGGATGCATGTCCCAGGACCCCAGCGGAGGCCCTTTAGGCCCCAGCCACAAAGGTTCTACCCTCCTCCTCCTCATCTGAGACAGAACTTCCCCAGAAGGTGGGGACGAGGTGGTAGACGGAGGTCGACCGGCCCCCAACCTGGTCAGAACCAAGGCCCTCCTAGGCCACCTTCAGGACCTAGGCAAAACTTTTGAAGGGGCGCCCGAGGACGGTGCGCCAGCCACTACCCAGGATCCATCTCCTTTCTTTCAGGATCGCCTCTCCCGTTTCCACTGTGCTTGGTCCCTTATAACCTCGGATCGTTGGGTCCTCCGCACGGTGGAGAGGGGATACGCTCTCCAGTTTTCTTCGCCCCCCCCCCACCTCCCCTCCCGGGCCCTCTTCAGGGACCCTTCTCACGAGCATCTCCTTACACAGGAGGTTTAGGGGCTCCTCTCTATGGGGGGCCATAGAGGAGGTTCCCCCAGAGTTAAGGGGCGGGGGGGTTTACTCCTGCTACTTCCTGATACCCAAAGCAAAAGGGGGTCTGCGACCCATTTTAGACCTACGCGGACTCAACAAATTCATAGTAAAGTTGAAGTTCCGCATGGTCTCCTTGGGGACCATTATCCCTTCCCTGGATCCTGGAGACTGGTACGCTGCCCTCGACATGAAAGACGCATATTTTTATATAGCAATCTACCCTCCTCACAGGTGCTTCCTTCGATTTGTAGTAAACAATGTGCACTACCAATTTGCCATCCTTCCCTTCGGCTTAGCCGCAGCTCCGAGAGAGTTCACCAAATGTATGGCTGTCGTGGCAGCATACCTTCGTCGACAAAGGATACAGGTGTTCCCGTATCTAGACGACTGGCTGGTGCGTGGCCGCACCAGGGAGCAAGTTCAGGCTCACGTCCGGATAATACTACAAGCATTCCACAAGTTAGGCATTCTACTTAACAAAGAAAAGTCCTCTCTGGAGCCAGCCCAGAGAATAGAGTTTATCGGGGCAGTTTTAGACTCCAGACTCGCCCGAGCTCTTCTGCCAGACACTCGGTTTCACACCATCGCAAACATCATCCACGGACTCCAGGTCTTCCCGATCACCACAGTAAGGATGTGCCTCGGCCTGTTGGGACACATGGCCTCTTGCACTTACATAACCAGGCATGCCAGACTTTGGCTTCGCCCGCTTCAGGCCTGGGTATCGTTGGTGTACCGTCCTTATCGGGACCACCTAAACATGGTGGTCCCGGTTCCGGACTTGGTCTTGACCTCTCTCACCTGGTGGCTGGATCACAAGGTGGTTTGCGCAGGCGTGCCATTTCATGCCCCACAACCCTCCCTGCACCTGGTCACGGACACTTCATCTCTAGGTTGGGGCGCTCACCTTGGGGAGCACCATACCCGGGGCCTGTGGACCGCATCCCAGCTAGCTCTGCACATCAATGTTCGAGAGCTGATGGCGGTGCGCCTAGCCTGTCAGGCATTTCTCGGTCTCCTACATGGCCGTTGCGTGTCAGTCCTCAGAGACAACACCACGGCCATGTTCTACATCAACAAGCAAGGAGGAGCCCGGTCGTCTCTCCTATGCCAAGAGTCCATTCGACTCTGGGAGTTCTGCATTGCCCACTCGATACATCTAATGGCATCGTTCCTCCCTGGAGTCCAGAACACTCTAGCGGACCGTCTCAGCAGATCCTTCCAGACGCACGAGTGGTCAATTCGCCCGGATATCATCCATTCCATCGTCTAGAGGTGGGAATTTCCCCAGGTCGACCTGTTTGCCTCACAAGCCAACAGGAAGTGCCACGTGTTCTGCTCCCTCCAAGGGCAATCTCCGGGCTCCCTGTCGGACGCTTTCCTCCTACCATGGAGAGACCAGCTGTTCTACGCTTTCCCTCCATTCCCACTCGTCCACAGGGTGCTGCTCAAGCTACACAGAGACAAGGCATGTATGATTCTAGTTGCTCCAGCTTGGCCAAGACAGCACTGGTACACCACGCTTCTGGAGCTATCGGTACAAACTCCGATCACGCTTCCCTTGTGCCCAGACTTGATCTCTCAGGACCACGGCCGACTCTGTCACCCCGACCTGCAATCGCTCCACCTTACAGCGTAGATGCTCCATGGCTGAATCGGACAGAGCTACAATGCTCACATCCCGTGCAACAGATTCTGCTGGGAAGTAGAAAGCCCTCTACACTGACCACTTACTTAGCCAAGTGGAAACGGTTCTCCTGTTGGTGTGAGCAGCGGGCCACGCCTCCCTTGCAGGCGTCTATTCCTCTTATACTCGAATATCTCCTATCCCTGAAACAGCAGGGCTTGGCGATATCTTCAGTCAGGGTTCACCTGGCCGCTATATTGGCATTCCACCCAGGAGAACACGCTTCCTCGGTTTTCTCTATCCCGATGGTCGTCAGATTCCTCAAGGGCTTAGACCGGCTATACCCACAGCAACGCCAGCCCATTCTGGCATGGGATCTTAACCTGGTTCTCTCCAAGCTCACAGGGCCCCTGTTCGAGCCATTGGCTACCTGCTTACTCCTTTATCTATCTTGGAAGACAGCCTTCCTGGTAGCCATCACTTCAGCGAGGTGTGTTTCTGAAATCAGGGCGCTCACGTCGGAGACCCCGTACACAGTCTTCCATAAAGACAAGGTGCAGCTTCGCCCCCACCCTGCCTTTCTTCCCAAGGTAGTATCAGCTTTCCATGTGAACCAGGATATATTTCTCCCGGTCTTCCATCCTAAGCCTCACGCCACCCGTCAAGACCAGCGTATGCACTCCTTGGACGTACGCAGGGCCCTGGCTTTCTATATTGAGCGTACGAAACCATTTAGGAAGACAACGCAACTCTTCGTTGCAGTGGCCGACCGAATGAACGGCTTACCGGTCTCCTCGCAATGTGTCTCCTCTTGGATCACGTCCTGCATTCGTGCTTGCTACGACCTGGCCGGTGCCCCGACGCCGCGCCTCACCGCCCACTCCATGAAGGCCCAAGCCTCCTCGACTGCCTTCCTGGCTCATGTCCCGATCCAGGACATTTGTAGAGCTGTGGTTTGGTCATCGGTCCACACCTTTGCCGCTCACTATGCGCTTGTACAGCAGTCCAGAGACGATGCTGCATTCGGATCAGCGATTTTGCACACAGTGATGTCTCACTCCGACCCCACCGCCTAGGTAAGGCTTGGTAGTCACCTAATTGGAATTGATATGATCAAGCACTCGAAGAAGAAAAAATGGTTACTCACCTTTTAACTGTTGTTCTTCGAGATGTGTTGCTCATATCCATTCCAAACCCGCCCCCCTTCCCCACTGTCGGAGTAGCCGTCAAGAAGGAGCTGAGGGGACGCTGGGTCGGCTGGGGTATATATCCAGCGACATGAACGCGCCACACCAGGGGGTCCCAGC